GGTTAACTGGGGACGTGTTCTAGGAAGAGATTAGGGTGTTTTACACAAGACTATAATTAGTTCTCCCAAAGGTTTATTACAAAAGCTTGAGCCTAGCCCCGCCCAGTTTCTCTCTGGCTTCCGGTTTCCAGTTGCGATCTCTCCAAAGTCAGGTTCCTGACATGATGTGATGCAACCAGGAGAACTTAACACCAGAGCTGGTGGCAGTGCTGTACCCTTAGCTCTCCAGTGCCGTGGGCTACCCGACTTTCTCTTATTAATAAAGTTAGCCCTCCCCAGGCATTTAGTTGTAGCAGTACTGGATGGATTAATACACCGTGGCTGGATGAAAGAGCGGACAGAACCAAGCTTGCCTGTTAACAGAAGGCGGGAACCAGCTCTAAACATCAGAGGAACAAATACTCCTTCTGGAATATCTTCAGCAGTACAGATGTCCTCTTTACCTGTGTGTCCCAGGTAGGAACCCTCCCACAGCTGTGGGTCTGTCTCCCCGAGCATGTCTGTAAGTGTACTTATGTACTTACGTGTGTTTGTTTGAATGTATCTGGTCTGTCGTCTCTTAAAGGGTGCTGGGGACTGTCCATATTCATGTCAATCACCTGAGAGATAGAGCCCTCCCACAGGAAGCCAGACATTTGACATTGCTATTGGAGGCAAAGAAAATGCATTATCCCTGGGACCTCCTCTAGATTTTGGATGAGTAGAGGCCCAGTCAGGGCCTTTAAGTGTATTCTTCTGAGGTAGGTGGCAGTGGGCTTTGTCACTCTCCAGCAGGCTGCGAACTCAGCTTGGTGGCAAACTGGAGAGAGTGACAGGTGAGGCTGCCCATCCTAAGGCCTGTCCTTATGTTTGAGCCATAAGTAAAAAGAATTGGGTGGTCCAGTTTGGTGTTAGCTATTGGGATCAGAGCAATTACATTTGTGTTTGTCTTTAAACCATAGCTGAAGAGGGTTCCATTGTCCTCTGACTAAGGTGCTGGTGACAACAAAAACACCAAGGAGTCTATTCCAGGGCTTCATTGAGGAGTCCATTTGGTCCTCTCAGATTTCTGACAATTCAGATAGGGGGATGGTAGATGTCGTGACCTCAGCAGACAATGACCAAAACACAGCTAAAAGAGAACGATGATATTGATGATATTCCTAAGAACAGGTAAACCGTTAGTTGGCCGTGGGGGGATGAGAATGTTCCCCTCCTACGCATGTGTTCCCCTTAACCACACCTCTTAGCTTGACCCCCACCTCACCATTAATTTGAGACAGGGTCTCACTATGTAGTCCTGGCTGGCCTGGAAGTAACTATCTGAACCTTTCATGACTGATGTTGATATGCTTGTCCCTGGAAGTACTGTCTCTCCTTTTGACAATGTGTGGCTGCTGTTCTCTTGGGGTTCAGCTGTAGTACTAGAAAACTGAGGCTGTGACTCAAGTACATGGCTCAGAGGCTCTTGCTTCAGATTCATGGGCCAGTCTGCCAGAAGCAGGTGAAAAGCAGGCTGAGGAGCAGACAAGGTTCTCTGAGTGTCCACCTGTGTGCTCTGAAACCTCTGTTTCCTGCGCCGGCTAGTTCTGTCAGCTTGATGCAGCCTCATGGTCACTTGGGAAGAGGGTCTCAGTGAGGGAATGCCTACATCAATCAGACTGGCTTGTGGACATGCCCAGGTTCGGGGGTTGTTTTGCTGGCCTTAATTGGTATGTGAAGACTTAACCTAAAAAGGGGCCCTGACTTTTCCTGGGTTTGGATCCTCAGACGTATGAGTGGAGAAAGCTAAGCCTGAAACGCGTGTGCATTTGTGTCTCTGCCCGACTCTGGAAGTCATGTGCCTGGCTGTGTCAAGTTTCCGATGTCTAGACTTCTCCGGGATAACCAGACTGTAATGGGGAATAGAGGGCTGAAATAATTCCTTTCTCCCCAACTTGCCTTTTGTCAGGGTGTTTAATCACAGCGCAGCAGTGGGGGGGGGGGTGCTAATACACCAGAGAGCGGAGGGATGAAAGCCGCAGCTCTGCTCTCATCCTCGCACTGCGTGAGCCAACTCCACTGCAGCAAACCAAACACTCGCAAACTCCTTCACTGGCCTAGAAGAGGCTGGTTTTACATAAGTTTCCCCCTTTTAAAGAAATATTCATTTATTTATTTTATGTATCTGAGTACACTGTCACTGTCTTCAGACACAGAAGGTACCGGATCCCAATACATCTGGTTGTGAGCCACCATGTGGTTGCTGGGAATTGAACTCAGGTCCTCTGGAAAAGCAGGCAGTGCTCTTAATAGCTGAGCCATCTCTCCAAAAAGATTAGAAGGGTTGGGGTGTCAGCTGGGAGAGTGCTTGCCTAGCTTGTGTGTAACCCTGGTCCTAGCCCAGCACTGCATAAACCATAAACGTATGGTAAGGCACGCCTGCCTGTATGTGCTCGAAGCACGAGAGAGGTGGAAGCAGGAAGGCCAGAAGTTCAGTCACTCTTGGTTACACTGCGAAATTGAGGCCAGCTTGGAGTACCTCAAACTGCTTCAAACACTACAAGAGAAAGGAGGCTGGAGACGTGGCTCAGTGGTTAAGAGTATGCGCTGCTCTTCCAGAGAACTTGGGCTCAATTCCCAGCATTCATATGGCAGCTTACAACTGTTTCTAACTTCAGGCCCAAGAGATCTGCCCACTTCTGGGCTCCATGGGCATCAAGCATGCGTATTGTGCACATACATACATGCAAGGAAAACACCTACACACATAAAAATAAATAGGAAAAGTAAAAGAAGGAAAACAACACAAGAATAAAAAAGATTTAAAAATCCACTTCCATGGCAAGCCCAAAATGTGGTGGTTAGTTACTATTACTTGTTATAGACCAATGGACAACTGACTGATCATTAAGGAAATTTTATTAATAGAGACATTTGCAAACACAAAGTGAACGGTACTATAGTTAATAGTTTTGGCAACCCCACCTTCTCATGTATAATACTGAAAATTATTTCATTCATGTTTACTCCAAACTCCCATTTTTTAAAGTAGGCATCACAGAATAGCGGGATCTTAAATGATCTGGAGCGATAGCGTTTATCACAAAGCCATGGTCCGTGCTCTTGACAGTCTCATTTGGTAATTATATATCGTACTATCACTAGAAGCCAGATAACTCATTCCAACTAGGAAAAAAATACTTATTATGCCAACCATCAACTATTATTTGCTCGATCATCAAAGTAGAAAGGCCCTAACTTCCTTTTGAGGATGTAGGTTTCTTTGATGTTTTAACCACCACATACTTTACAAAAAGACTCGGCCCCAAATCCACGTCAGGAGCTGTTCCCCTGAACCCCATCTCCACACTGCTCTCTGGAAATGGGTCAGTTCCTTTCTGCGCACTTCAGCTTCTTTCTGGGTACCCAATTCTGTGCCCAAAGCAATTAGCCAAGCCCGAGAGCCCCAGGTTTTCTGAAAGGAGACAGGAACAACCATCTCATCAATTTCTGTCTCTTGTCACTTGCTGACGATGCCAAGGAACAAATTTCAGATACCTCATCTTAGACAAACTGTCAATGGGTCTCCAAAACAGGAAGTTGGGTCCCCAAAAGGGTTAAGTTGGGGGTTAACATTGTTGAACCGTCTCTGGGGAGTCTGATCTAGGACACTGTAGCACAGAAGCAAAGTTTATGGAAACCTAGCTTATCAATCAGCTTGTGATCAGAGAAGAAACTAGAAGTCAACTTTTACCTTTGTATTGTTCTTAAGGATTTTTGCCCCCTCTAAAAGTTAAAAAAATATAATCAGACTCTTAACATTTTTAGAACTTTTAAATCAATTAGCTTAACTGACTTCTGTGGCCAGTAGGGTGACAGTTAGCCTACCTACTTGGCCGTTTTTTTGTCCAGTGCCCACCAGGAAGGTCTTTGTAAAAACAGGAGACCCAGAAGGCTATTATTCCCTGACTTCAGTTCTCCACCACATAGCAGGTATTCTAAAGCCTTCCCACAGCTTAGAGCTTTAATAAGCTCTGGAATATTCCAGAGGAAACCTGCAAAACTACTTCTTGTCTGGAGATTTTTAATTTATTAAGTATGTGCACATGTGTATGTGTGCACATATGTGTGTGAGGGGTACACTGGATCCCTGAAGCTGGAGTTACAGGCAGTTGTGAGCCACCTGGCATGGATGCTGAGAATCAGGTCCTCTGCAGGGACAATGAGGAGCAAAGAATCATAACCTTGGGCAGTTTCTCCAGCTCCCTTTCTTTTTCATTTCCTTTCATAGCTCCTTCCTTCCTTCCTTCCTTCCTTCCTTCCTTCCTTCCTTCCTTCCTT